ATAGGGCCCTTACCAGAGGCATAAGGTGACATTATGATTTTGTACGAATACAGTATGATTGTTGTATTGTGATTGTGGTTCCATGAATTATGAGCAGGAGGTGGATACAGAACCCGAATAGGTGTGCAGATGAATATTTGGATGGAATTGAGGATTTTATTGACTTTGCACGGACACACAACCCGGGTGCAACTAGAATCCGTTGTCCTTGTCGGAGGTGTAACAACACGTTGTGGGAGACAATTGAAAATGTTGGCTTTCATTTAGTAAGGAATGGAATGATTGAGACATATAGCATTTGGAACTTTCACGGGGAACAATTAGACAATGCTTCATCTTCAAATGCCACAAGGGTAGACAATATTGAACATATTATGGATCCTAATGAACAAGTTATGGATATTATAAATGATGCTTTTTCATTTGCATCGACCAACATCAATCAGGAAGGGGAAGATGACGTGCCTACCCCAATAGACAGTGCAGAGTTCGAACAATATGAACAACTGTTAAAAAGTGCCAACCAAGAGTTATAACCAGGGTGCGAGAGCTTTTCCGTTCTTACAGCCATTGTGGAGCTAATGCACGGAAAAATAAAGTATCGTATGTCGAACTTGTGTTTCGATTACTTTTTAGGGGTTTGTAAGAGAATGCTTCCGACAAACAATTGTTTGCCGAAAGACCACCGACAGGCGCAAAAGGTGTTGAATGGTCTTGGATTGGGTTATGAAAAAATTCATGCTTGCAAAAACAATTGCATGTTATTCTACAAAGAGTATGAAACATTAGATACATGCCCTATATGCAAAGAGTCGAGGTTCAAGATGACATCTCAGAATAGGACGACTAAGATCCCACAGAAAGTCATGCGCTATCTGCCCTTGAAACCTAGGCTACAACGATTGTATATGTCGACTCATACTGCCACAGACATGAGATGGCATAAGGAGAAACGGGTAGACGACGATGTGATGCGGCATCCTGCAGATGGGGAAGCATGGAAAGAGTTCGATCGAACGTTCCCCGACTTTGCTGCTGATCCTCGAAATGTTAGATTGGGACTTGCCACTGACGGATTCAATCCGTACAGGGTTCTAAACAACACCATAGCACTTGGCCGATTTTCGTATTTCCATATAATTTGCAGACTTGGAAATGCATGAAAAAAGAGTACATGATGATGACTGTTTTGATAACTGAGGATCCTGGCAAGTCAATCGATGTTTACTTACGACCGTTGGTTGATGAGCTCAAGGATTTATGGACAAACGGTGTGCGCACGTACGATAAAGCCACTGGGAAGATGTTCACTTTGTGGGCAGCAGTGATGTGGACTGTAAATGATTTTCCGCATATGCAATGGTTTCTGGGTGGAGCACAAAGGGTTATATGGCATGCCCTGTATGCAAGGAAAATGTAACTTCTGGTTGGCACGTAGGAAAAGTTTGTTATCATGGTCATCGAAGATGGTTGCCATGGGACCACGATTGGCGGGAAAAGGATAAAGAGTTTGACCGGAACACAGAGCATCACCTCAGACCTAGAGAATGGTCCGGTGATGAGATTTTGGAACAGCTAAACCGTTTGGATTTTTCTCCTTTCGGAAAAACAGTTACTCGGACAAGATTTTCTACACATTTGAACTGGACGCACAAGTCTATATTTTTTAAGCTCCCATATTGGTCGAAACTAAAATTGAGGCACAATCTCGACGTTATGCATGTTGAGAAAAATGTCTTTGACACATTGCTGGGCACGATTCTAGATATCGAGGGTAAGACAAATGACACGATCAAAACTCGTCTTGATTTGGAAAGAATGGGCATACGAAGAGGTTTATGGATGAACAGAGACGGTGATAAAGCTAGAAGGGATCTAGCATTTTTTGCCATGAAACCGAATGACAAAAAACATTTTCTACAGTTTGTATCGTCGGTAAAGTTTCCCGATGGGTATGCTTCTAATATCGCGCGTTGCGTGAATGTTGACGGGGGTAAATTTACTGGACTG